GGGTGGGGGAATGCTTGCACAATGGATGTAGAACTCCACCTCATAGCAGCGAGTCTTGCAATTAGCGTCATCTACAAGGTGAACTCCAGTGAACCATCCTGATTTCCTCATCAGTACATGCCAAGGAGGATGAGCATGCAAATGGGGTAAAGGGAAAAATAGTTGACTGTCCCAGCAAGTGAGATCGGTGTGGACTGCTGCAGTGAACAAATACTTCCTCCATTCCCTGCCTAAAGTGAATAGCAGAATCACAGACCGGGTACAGAAAGCGGAAAAGGCTGTGCAAAAGGCTCAATGGAAAGATTAGTGATAGGGTGCCGCGCGACGAAGAAGTGCTTTTTCACATGGTCAACTTTATTACAACTTAATATAAATGAAGTGAGCGGAATTTACTGTACACATGCAAGGGTTATCGTGAAAGCTGACTCAGCAGTTGAACGTGGAACAGCAGACCTTCTGTCTGTATCGGGAGGAGTAAACGCAATTCGGAGTGTCAACCCATAGACACTGATCTGCTTTGAAGCACTGCAGAGGCATCGTTGTACCTGGGTACATTCGCACTTTACCTGAAATGTTGAAGATGAACACAAGCCGAAAATGACATCGGAAAAGGAGCAAAATTCCGTGGCTCTGAAGTCCCGTATGCATCATGTGAGGATCCGGAACTTTTTCCCCACACACTGAAGCCACCACTAATATTCAATAACCGGAAAAATTCTCTAGCGACTTGGTAAAACTTCTATCCGGGCTACATACGAGTACCAAATATGATCCCCACCCTGTTGAGATTCTCTCAACGATGGTGTCTACAGGGGGGGCCAAAAAAAAAGTCATTTTTGCTCCATGACTTTCAAGGCGCTATAAGTTACACTTTATTAAACTTTTATCGGACATTTTTACTACCATATTAAAGAGCACATTAAATACTATAAGGACACTCCGCCACAGCCTTCTGGAGGAGCGCCATCGAGAGATTCGGCCGCGCGAAAGTGAGTGGGTACCGGAGTTGAGCGAGATCGTTTGATCTTCTCCGCCACTTGTATGACCACCCTGTTGAGCTCCGCCCGAACCGAGTAATTGAGGGGTTTAGTTCAGGACCCCGCTTAAATACTCCATCTTTTCCAGGTACTCAACGTTCTTCCATTCCAAGTAGGCGAAAGTTTTTCCAACGCCCTTCGATTTCATGTGGTGGCACTCGATGCTGTAGCAGTCAAGTTCAAGAATGGTACTGGGCACCACATGTGAGCTGGGATATTCTTCACGAGTGCCCACGATGTAACCGCCAGCATCACCTTTAGTCCGGGTCCACGTACGGAAATCTTGGGTCTGTTATCCCATTTCAGGCACGGCCGTTCCACACCATCAACCGCGCCTTGGTGAATGGGGTGAAGATGATGTCCTGGACCGTAGCGACGTTGCCGGAGCTGCTCGATGTTTGAGGTCTTGCAGATCAAGAGTACTGGTCTCCAGGTAGCTATCCATGGGTGATTCCATTCAAGAAGTTCCGCAGCTGTTTGGAGGCCACGTGAATTCCAAAGGCGTTCTCCACTCAGGCCGCGACTGGAGATGACTTCATATTTTGGTGTACATGAAGGTGAATGGCGGCAGCCGGCTCCTGCTTATAGAGGAAGATCTTGGGTATCTTCCGCCCTGGTACTCATATCCACTTCCTCTGTCTGGGCTGCGAAAACTTCGCTCATATGTGACTCGGCCGGAATGACTTTTTTTTTTTGCCCCCCCCTGTATGTACCTCGGGTGAAGCAGAAAATGAGAACAAGAATGCAAGAGAACGGCTATGTGGCCCACATGCTCGTCCAACTCACAACATCAGTGCTTCATTCTGAATGTTTTCTTTAGAATTTGTCTTCACAGGGGAAATAATTAGTACAACAGCAAAAAAACTTGCTTGAAAAAGCTGCTCAAAAACGCTGCTCATGAAGTTGAGCAGGCTGTTTTAAAAGCCGCGCCCTCCAGCAAAGATCAAAACAAATCAAATCGTCGGGTATGCCCCCTATAAGTTCCACTTGGGCTACTAGCATTTTGTGAGCGTGTGGAGAGATGGACCTAGCTAAAGTATAATCGGAAGGTTGAGACTTCACCACTACAGAGCGACTGTAAAACGAAATTATAAAATTACTGTAACGAATGATTACTGTAACTGGCCAATTTACCGTAACTGTAGTCGTTGTTGGCGTCATATCTTCCACAACAGATGTACTGTCTCATTGCATTACTGTATTCACAACCAAATCCCACTGAGCAAGGTTGATACAAACAGTTCTTTACCATTCCGGACTCCCTTTCCACTTGCTGGTTCGGTCTTGTACAGATAGCTGAATGTATGAGAAAATAAATTGTAGCCTTTTGATTAGTGAAGGCTTAAAGAAGAAACAGTAGAACTCACGATTATCGTATTGAATATTGGGAACACACACACCGTTACTGCAGTAAGCGCCTAGTGACTGGCACTGGGCTGAGTTAACACAGGAACCACCGATCGTGGAAATCGGGTAGCATGTGTTGCCAATCGATATCTCAGTGGGAGCACACGCTAAAACCGTCAGTTATGAATAACAACAAAAAATTTTCTAGGGAAAATTCTCTAAAACGTCACTAGGGCCGAGTAATGTATCAGGAAAATTTCATCCTTTAAATGTTAGTCAGGTTGTGCGGGTGTGGTCTGATGGCTGCGTGAGGGAAGCTCCTTGCCAACGACCCGGCCTGAGGGTCAAGTTCCTCATTCCACGCGCTTCGTCCCCACGAATCGCCTAAGGGATTAAGACCCACGAATCGCTAAGCGGATTAAGACTTGTTTTAGGATAAAAATAATGACATGCACAACGGGTGTCTGCAAGTCACTGTATAAGCTGAATCATATTTGTGACGTCACGACGATATTGCATTTAAGTGGATTGTATGAAGAAAGGATTTGAGCAACTCTGAAAGCCTATACTTCCCCTGTTTTGTACACCATTTTGAAACGCGAACAGCGAAGCTGTGTCTACCATCGTTCACATCGGCGCCTACAACACCTCCAGCACGGGTCCTCCAGACATCATCTGAGGTCGTTTTCTTGGCTACTTCGTGAAATAACGTTCCGATTTGACCTTTCCACTGGGTCACATGGCTCTTGCGGTTGTGCTTTCTCAGAAGCCCATTTCTGAACACATGTGAACATAAACTGGAACGTGAGACTTTCGTTGGAGGAAATTTCTAATAAAACGTTCCGGACCACGTGACGCACATGGTGTGTCATGCATTTAAAAAGATGAAATTACCGAATATCGATGTGTAGGGTGACTAAATGACGCGATCCTTCCAGTAAAGTTACATTTGAATACTTGCTTGGCCTTAACAGTGACTGTAGCGGATCATCCAGTACAGGTGATCTGTTTAACGCGAAGGGCCGCGCTACGAAAGTACGATCCCGAGAATGTTGATTTGGGGGCAGAAGTCTTGAGACGAAGCGGGGAATGGACCTCACCCTTCACGCTATCCGTGACGATTCCTCCTACCCTCTCAGCTCAAGCTTTATGGCACTCACATTTCAGAGTTAATAGTCCATCATTCCATCCTCTGCCCTGCTCCCTTCTGTCCTTCTAAAGAGAATCGCCTGACTTTTCGTGAATTTTCCAGTTTCATGGACACTCCGCCCGCTCGACAGATGGACCAGGGGGTCGTACCAAACACCCTAAAAAGGTGGGAATTGTACGGACTGGACCAACCCCCCCCCCTCACCAAGGAGGTGCCCTGAGATGCAGTCCGCGACCACAGTTCCTGTGCTTTGGTGCCCAAGTGAAGTCCCCCCCCAGTAGCATTTAACGTAGTAACGAAGAAAAAAGAGCGGAGATAACCGCCAATAATGTATGGTATGTCAAGTAGGGCCTGACATTATCGAAGTTCTAGCATTTCTGAAAAGAGTGAGGATCTCGCGTCCAAAGTAAAGCACGTCAGAGGCTCACAGCTTTCACTGTTGGAAGGGGGACCATTTCATCTTTGCACATGTCCACACATGCGAAGGACGTTTCTTGAACTGGCGCAGTGTACGACCACAACAAGATGGTGTGGGCGTGACTGCGTACTTTATTTTCGTGTCGTGCTTCTGGTGAAATGTTGCCGTTTTGAGACAAATGCGACCAACCCTATGGCTACCACATGACTGTTGTCTCAAGTGGAATTGCCCTATGTTTCACTCCATATTTAAATGGAGAAAGGAACTGAGCCCTCACCCTCTTCAGGATAGGAGGTTTATGTATCATATTGAGCAAAAACGTTTGCTTGGGTTAAATCTCGAAATATTGCCCGTCCTTTCTAGTTACGAATAAATTACAAAATACACTGTCCCAATGTAACTCACGTCCCGTTTTTCTGCAGCAAAAACCGTTACGTGCATCGGTACCTTGGATCGAAGCGTGCACAAAATGCATCATTGTCGCATGGTGTGCCACCGTTGAGATCCAACGAGCCTGATGGACAGAACTGAGCTCGAGAAGTCGCTATGCACACTGAAACGAATGACCGCTTGTCAAACTTGTTCCTTCGAAAGTTCATGTGACTGCTGTTTCTCATACATTTCCTAACATTCCTCAGCAATTTGCCTACAGAGGAGAAATGGCAAGTTGGAGTAGTATGGCGCCTTATATCATGGAATTCTTTCTACATGACCTCACCTGACTGAATTTGATTCTATCGAATTTGTATATTCCGTATATTACGGATCACCGACCACAACTTTACAGAATGAGATAGATAATAATAGCTAGCCAAATGAAGGATTTTCTCCATAAAGGCAGAAACAAGAGCAGTTTGGAATTTTTGGAGTGGAGGAAAAAATTTCTGGGGTGGACAGCTTCTCGAGTAGCAAACGAAGAAAATGTGAAATTCACCTGTGATCCAGCAAAGAACTCTCAATGTCATTCATTTGACACGACCTCCTCTGGTTGCCGAGGTGAACAGAAAGACAACATTGCTCAATAGCTCTCACAAGCCGGTTTTGCCGTCCGTTTTTCAACACGATTCTATGAGCACGCAAACGTGACTTGAATTCATCCCTACAAATACCGGAAATCAAGCTGCGTCACTCACGATCAAAACGATTTCTTATAATAAAACCCGCCTTTTCCTCCTGAGAACCTGTCTTTTTTTCTCTAAAAACACGGCTCACGGCACCGTAGTGAGGTGGTGTAGAAAGTTTCTGATTTCGATTCTATCGAACCGTTGCGACCTCAAGCACTCAAAAAGGTTTTTACGCTAAAACTTTGTCTATGGATGGGGGGGGGGTGGTTGGAAATTCGGTGCTCTGTTCATGAATGTTACCATCGTGTCTGACGCTAACACAATGTGGCGCAACCAAGTTTTTCAACAGTATTCGTGCAAACTTACATACAAGGATTATTTGCTTTCCAATCATGGACATCATATTCGCTTTTGGCTTAACACTTTCATGTCACCATTATAACTGTGAACTGCGCACTTTCCTGTGCTCTTCCCAGAAGATGAGATGTCACATCGAAAACTCGTAATAAGAGTTGTAGAAATGAATACAGGATCAAACCTCACAATAAATTCATCGCTAGACCACATACTTTGCTGAGAGGAGTGAAGGAGATGTCAAACGAAGGAGCGAAAGAGAGCAGAATTGATGATCAGAAGAAAAGCTTCGAACAAGCAGTGTCAAGTTCGTGGTGTTCTTCTGAGATACACTAGTATGTTGCACTGATGAAAGAAAACGTCAGCGCCTCCCCACCCTTCCTCAAAGACAGCCCCGCGCTCAAGTAGTACATGGCCGTCCTTCCTTGTGCAAGTAGTACAGCCCCCAAGCTAGAAACTATCCCACTCTCGCGACTCCACAGCGAGCGAGGAGCGAGCTACAGCCGCTGAAAGTTCTAGTTCTAACGCCCGCTCAGTTGGACCGCCCACTTGCTAGATGCCCTCTGACGGAGGGCCGCTCAGTTGTTTACTCGAACCCATCTCGCAAGGTAAAACGCGTAAAAATCACGAGCGACCCAATTTTCGTGGTGCAAAAGCTCGACGCACTATACACACTAAAAGATGCACGCTACCGTAATCCTAAATTCGGACTACGACTTTTAGAAGGTTTCTTTTCCTCTTCAAGAGTTTTTCTTCGTGTTTTTGTTGTTTTTCGTATTCTTTTCTTTGCATTGGATGATATCCACTACTGGGAGATGTGATAAAGGGATTTGTGAGCCAGGGGTTGCACAGAGCAGGGCACATCGTTGGTTGGGGAATCCCCAACAGGGGGGTCGTATTTGGCCGCCAGGAGAGGGGGGTCGTAGTGAGTGCGGCAGCCAGTAACGAGCAGCGCAAATTGTCAATGTGCTGAGTCCTGTACAACGAAACTTGCTTTGTAGAGAACTCGGATATGCAAAAAAATAGTACAAAACTTTCATTCATCAAACTAATCCGAAATAACTGCAAATATTAATAAGTCGACATCATCTCGTAGGTCCGTTGGTGACTAAACAGTACAAACAGTCAAACTCTGGTTCGCTGCCAATGATATGGCGTGTCCGCGGTCGCGCTTGGCGCTGAGCCAACCTGTTTTTTCTCGACAAGCGACAGGACTACCATATCGTTCGTATCAGACGTTTTCCAGCAGTTGGTCTCCTTTATCGGAGTCAGCGATTGGCGGAGCACGAATCTGGCAGCGTTGACAGGGACATGTTCCATCATACGCAACGGAAAACACTGTAAACAAGTGCACAGGCTCGCCATGGACCTCCCTGAACCCTATAGACACATTTGCTCGCGTGAACAGACATTACGCACAAGTTGCACCATCCCATCACCTCTGCGCGGCCCTCAGTGCGCGGCGCATCCAAAGTTGGCGTGATCGGCGCTAAACGAAACCATATCCTGCTCCTGCTCCACCACAGGATACGTTCTACATGCGTTCCTGGCTATTCGAACACGCTCACTTGAAACGGTACACAGGAAACGGGTTTTTCGCGCAGCTGGGAGTGTTCCTCAAGAAATCCCCATAGCGAGATCTCATGAATCCCGAGAGCTTCAGAAACAGTTCAAGAGGTTTTAGAAAGAGAAAATCTTCAAACACTCGGATCCGTTCTCAGATTTGTGAAATGTTGAGTTACAAAAAAATATATTGATTCAAACCTGTTCAACTTAAAAACCCTTCACTCCCCAACGAATCCCTATGGCAGATTTCTCTGTGATTTTTGCGACCTTCATAAACGTTTCAGTACTTTTAGGAAGTGCAAACCTTCCTCTACACGAATACGGTCTCCTCTTCCCCACAGGTCCGCTTTTGAGGAAGTTATGGTCCTTCAAAGACACCCTACTTTGCTGAAAATTCTCGCTCCATGGCTAAAATTGCCGAACGATCTGCGGTCACATCTGCAATTACATGCGCTTCTGCTACCGTACTCCAATAATCGGGGTAATGCATTTTTACGGCGGTTTGTATAACTGTTACGTAGTGAGACAAGCCTAACTTTCTCTTTTCCTCGTCCTCAATCTTGGGAATAGACGTTGTTAACACTGTGGTCGCTGATGGCCGCTCCCAGAGAGGGAGTCCACCTCAGGTTAACGAATGCTCATTGAATTTAATCGCGATATATCGTTATTATTACCATGTGTGTTTCAAAACGGCCATCGAAGAAGTTCATACGAGTTTCTCATAATACGATTGTACCGTTTTTTGTTTACAATCATTTCTGTATTGTTCTATTAATGGGGGTGTCAATGATCTCAAGTCGTCCCCATTTAGTATGCACCTTCATATCATAGTAAGAATATTCATAGTGGGCGTTTCATAGTTTCATTTAAGGCGAAAAAAACCGAACGGCAAAAAAAGGGGGGGGGGTCGTACCGAACCCCCAAAAAAGGGGGGGTCGTACAGGCTCGACCAAAATCCCCATCGAATGCTGTGCCCTGCACAAGAGCCGCAGGAGTGGACTCTCAAGAGACGATTTTGTTTATGGTGTTCTTAAGGACTCTTCTTGCTTTTTTTCTTCTTTGGGAGAATTACTTATCAGCTACTATTTCATAATTGAAAACCAACTATCCATGACACTTTTATCGCGGGAGCTGTCTTCAAGCAAGTGGATAATCAGTGGGAGCGCCGGTGATACCAGCAGATTTGAATGAAAGTGGAGTGTGTAGCAAATCATAAAGAGGTTACGGAAACCATACCCGGTCACAATGTGCCAAATAAATGCTGTTACCTAACCGTAACGCCTATCACCCATATTAAATCAGCATCTCAGACTTCATCCACTCACCTAATCTTAACTTTTTTCACACGGAACCTCTTGCAAAACCAAAAACATTTTTATAGGGCGCGACATTCCTCTATCTCCTCTTCCCAGAACCTGTATCGTATATGAAGTACTTTTTGTTTACGCAAGAAAACGCCTGTTAAGGGCAAGTTTGCCGCAATTTTAGTG